CCACATTGCCGACCACCGCCTTATACTTTTCCTTGTCATTGGGCGATGAACTCCGCAGAAGAAAGGTAAGCCGGACCAACATCCGCCCGAGCAGCGGTTACCTCTGCTTCATGGGATGCCACCAGCGCGTCCTTCTCAAGTCTTAAGGCCTCCACTTCTTTGCGCAAGGAGTCTTGCTCCTCCAGGAGTGTCTTCTCGATTTCGCCCGACTTTTGGAGTGAATCCTGGAGGTGGTTTCTTTCCTCACGGACCGCCTTGGACGCTTCCCTCTCGTCCACCAACTCCTTGTCTTTCCGGGAAAACTGTTCGCCAAAGCTCTTCTCTATTTGAGGACGCAATTCTTCTTCCAGAGCCGCGCGGCCCCTGTCCAGGCTCTTCTTCAGGATAGCAATCTCGACCGCATTATCTTCCATGGTCTTTGACAGGCGGTCATTGAGAAAAATGATCTGAGAAAACCCAATTTGTGCCTACAAGGCATGCACCAAATATGTTAGCAAAGTGACTGAAGTAAGAAAACCAAAGAGCGAGCGGGACACTCACCCCGAAGAAGAAATGTGAGGCGGTTCCCGCAAGCCGGCGGTTGCTCCCAGGAGAGATAGCGGTATACTCGTTGGGCATCACCAGTTGCTCACTAATCGTGTGAAATGCCAACTCAGCCGCTTCAGTATCGGTGGCGGCCATTGGAGGAACATTCACCTGCCTTGGCTTGTCAGACTGCTTCACACCCTTTCCGCGCCTATCCCCCGCCCCCGAAGGGGAGCCGCGAACCTTGGCACGCTTCGACACCGCTTCAGGCGTCCCCTGCTGCAATAGTCTCTTTCCAGCCCCCCGAGGCACGGGAACCGCACTGCCACCAACCGCACTGGGAGACTCAACGTCCAAGCGAATGGGCGACGTCGCTGGCGGGTCAGTTGAAGGAACCGCCACGGAAGAGGAGGCGGCCCCCGCCCGGGCGGCCTTGACTGTCTTCTTCCTCCTTGGCCTATTGGCGTCCGCCAACTCCCTCAACCCATGAGAAAATAAACATCAAAGTCAAAAACTAGGCTACTAACCGTAAAGGCCACGGACTAGCTGGTAGGCGCTGTCAGTGCCACTGTGGCGAACTCGCAATTGAACCGCCTCCACAATGCGGTCAACGTGGTCTCGCACCGACTGAGGAAACAAGTTAGAGTCACACCAATCCTCTTTAGACCCAATCGCATAGCCCGTAGGCGGCTCAACATCGCCCGCATACCACTTCCAGGTCGGTCGAGCGAAGAAATACTCTTTGTACCAGGGCGAATCAAGCTTGGGCGCCCCAGTGACGAAGCCCACGGAATTCTCCCGCCTTCCGATCGACCAACAATTGGGAGAATCTCTGATATTGTAAATCAACCTGAACGCCTCGAATGATGGCTCTTCCCTAATGCGGTCGCACGCAAGGCGGTACATTACCGAATGGAAGATAATCATAGGTGAAAGCCGCCCCAGGGTGCAGTTGAGCCAGTGCAAAACCTTTGTCAAAATAGGGTCAAGCGGGAACCACAGTCCAAGCTTGACATGCTCGACAAGAATTGGTACCCAACCTCTAGGGCACGATCCTGAACGACTAGCTTCAGAAGGGGCCGCATATTGCCAGTTCGGGGGCATCCGAAGCGTCTTGAGATGATGCAACACCTATTCCGGCTTAAAAACCGCACCCGAACTTTTCGGCCCTTGCTCGAACACCTCATCCGGGATCGACTCCCCATCCCACATACCCGCATGATGTAACACCGTGTACACAGAATCCTGAACAGCCACTAAAGGCGGTCTGGTGTCCCCAGACTCTGACACCTCCAAAGAGGAAGAAGTGCTAGGAGACGCCTCATGGCGTACTTCATCACTGCTCATTTCTATGTCCTCCTCCGAAGAAAGGCTATCTAATCCTACCCGGTCAAACTCTCCCAAGTTATCCCCCACGGCTGAAGACGTAGTCATAACCCCAACTGGTACAGGGCGCGTGTTAGCACAATAGTCATCTAAGTCTATACATTCCCCAACAAGATAGTTGTCTAACTCAGAGACATTCCCAACATACAAGTCTAGGCAAGATAAATCCCACACACACTCAGATGTGTTGCGAAGGGGTGTAGAGCGGTTCGTACCTTAAGAGGTGAGGGCGGCCGCAGCTGTGCTGACAGACTTCTTCCCCATTGGAGGAACCGCCGTCGGAGCAGTCGAACTCGGGGGAGCCCCGTCGGTGACAATAACGGAGGGGGAAACAACGGCGGGAGCGTTCCCGCGAACCGCAGCGCCGCGAGCGTCGGCGACGGGCAGAGAGGTCGAATCATCATCGGCCATTCTTGGAACAAAGCTGATCGCCGAAGAACGGCGCCGAAGTTCCAAAGTCGGCGAAAGAGAAGGCGAAGTAAGGTGAGATTCCGGCCGAAACAAATAAGGAGCAAATCCCACGCCAAAAAAACGAGAAGAAGGGTGGAAAAATCATACCTGGAGCGTCGATCGGATTTATAGGCGCCGGCGGTGACAAGCTCTGATCACACACAGCGGAAGAAAAGGAGGAAGAAGACGAAGAACTTCTAAAACAAGGAAGATTCGGGTGGAGCAGCTCTCCCTCCCAGGCACTTATAGCGATGAAAGGGAATTTCAAAATCCCGAAGTGACCTGCCTCGAACCCCGCGAACCCTGCGGTAACGTTCCGCCTCTCGGTGTCAGGGCTCCGCGCCCGAGGTACGACAAGTGGCAAAAAGCGAAAAGACCAGAGAAACCGCCTCGGGCAACCCCTTAGGCGAGCGTCGCTTCATCTTCCCGCGACCAGGGGCAAAGGGGCATAGTGCGAGGAACAACCATAAGCCGCTCTGATCGCTTATCAGGGCCTTAGCGGTCCGTGACCGCTCAATGATCACCAAACGAGTCAGTTAGACGCGAGAACCCAAAGCTTCTCCCGCATAAGGGGCAAATGTTGGGTCACACATTGAGCCACGCGGTCCGTAGGCCCAGAAAGCACTCAAGGCCCACAAAAGAACAAACGAGGCCCAAAGGAGGATCAGGAGCAAAGGCGGCCCAAAGGATGCTAGTACTAAGGGACTGCCCGACACATAACAGATCTGACGTCAGGGGACCGCCCGACACTCTGGATCCTACACACGAAGTCTGACAAAGACGTTGAGGAATCCAGAGGCGTCTCAGGGCGCCCGACATAACATTTAATGCACACAGCTCGGACGAAACTAGTATAAATATCCCTCATAGGATCACATTTATGGTAACTTCAACTACTCTAATCTCTCTCTTATTTACAATTCTCTCAATCCTCTCTCTAACTTAGGCATCGGAGGAGGTCCCAGGAACCCACTGAGGACCTTTCTTGTAGGTTTCGAAGACCGCTCGCCGCCCTTGGAAACCGCCCGAGTCCATGGAGCTTCACTTAACCGCTTGGTACATTCCAAGCACAAACAGTGAGTCTTTTATCTGGTCTTTAAATCTTAATTTTGAGTTGAGAGGGGGAGCGGAGAGGGAAAGAATGGAATTGTTACATCTCCTAGGTTCCTTAGAGCTGAATGATAAGGTGTGCAGCCCTTGTAGAGTAATATGGAATCCGGATATGAATGGGAATTTTTCTGTTAGTTCCTATTATAAGATGTTGATGCATGAAGAAGGGCAAGGTTCGAATGACTTCCCAACTAATCAAATATGGAAGAACGTGGTCCCGAGCAAAATTTGTTTCTTTATATGGTTAGTTTACCATAACAGAATCCTCACGGCGGAAAATCTAAAGAAAAAGGGGTGGGCTTTGGCGAGCAGATGCTACCTTTGCTACATCAAAGAAGAAACTTCCATCCATCTGTTCAGTGAATGTCAGTTTGTGAAGGAGGTTTGGAACCATATCAATCGTACCAGACAGGGAGTGTTCTTCCAAGGTGGAGATATATGCTCGATTATTAAAAACTGTTCACACCTAGCGCCGAACTGTATTGATGGCTGGTTTAAAGCTTGCATCCTCCATGCTGTTTGGTGGCTGGTGTGGTTGGAAAGAAACCATCGAGTCTTTGAAGAGAAATCAACGACGACTATCATGGTGGCAAAAAGGGCGGTGAGGTACACGATGGAATGGTTGGTGGCTCATGGTAAAGTGGAGAAGGTGCAGGGTGAAACTTGGTTACGGGAGACTCTTGCTGGATTCTGATATGGATTGTTGCACAGGAGGCGTTGGACTGGTTGTTTGTCCTCCCCATGTCTGCGTGGGTTCAGGTTGTTTTTGGTTCCTTTTTGAGGTTGCGTCAGGTTTTGGGGGAATTGGTAGGAGGTGACTCTGTTCTGTTTTGGTTCCTTGTTCTTGTTGTTTCAAAGGTCTCCCAGGACCTTTCTCCCTTCTTTGGCTTCTTTTTTTATTTTTGTTTTCTGTTTTGCTCTCTTTCTTCGTTTCTGGACCTCTTGGGATCGCTCCTTGCGATAACAGAGGTATGTACAGACTTGTTGGATTGTTTTTTCAGCTTTAATCTATCGCCATTATCAAAATATAATTAATAGAATTAAGATTTTCTTTGTTTAATTTATAATAATTAGCTAAAAATAAAAAATATTTTATTATTTTTTAATTACCACGTCACTTATTTAACAGTCAATTATAAGAGTTGACTGCCACATCAGCAAAAGTTAACGGAGAGTAACGACCAGTGACCAAACTTGAACTGTTAACCTAATTTAAGTGACTACAATAAAATAAATTAATTTTAGTGGCAAATGTGAACTTTTTAAGTAATTCTAGTGACCAAACTTGCAATTTAGCCTAAACCTTACTATCACCCAAATTCATGGAATATGATAACCCTAGGTAGGAATGACCTGATTGTGGTAACCTTCAAACAAAATTCACTAAGTCCCCCATTTAACATTAGACCGTTTGGTACCAAATGAATCGAGAATTCATTTCATTGTACAATGAATTACCGTGTAGAATTTATTGTCAAATGAAATCTTGTGTTTGGTATGTCATACTCAAATCTTTAGAAATAAAATGAATTGTCGTGTAAAATTCATTGCCAATTGAACTCGTGTGTTTGGCATGTTATATGTATAAGTAATTTAGTCAGTCGTACGCTATACGCCTCCGTTCACACCTATTTTTTGTACATGGATAATTCTGACGAATCAGAACCATTGGTTTTTATTTTGAGATTAAATGAATATTATGGTTTGGGTTAGAGAATTGGGGACTGGGGTTCGCCCATTAGAGGTTAGGGGTATAGTAGCATGCCCCAAACTCCAGTTAATTCATGGTCTAACTAACAAAATTTAATGAGAGTAGGGTAAAGTAAACGTACGACTGACGTACGCTAGCCTGAACCTTCATTCTATTATAATTAGTAAATACTTATGGAATTCATTTGAAAATTCCATCTCAATTCATCGGAATTGCTATAACTAGTTCCCATTCCATAGAATTCAAAAATTAGAATTGAAATGAATTCTTTTAAATACCAAACAAAAAAATGTTTCATTCCAAAATGAATTCCTCAAAATTTATGAAATTCATTTATACTAAACGGTATGTAGCTAATACTGTACACTCTTGATAAGGTTACTTACTAATTACTAAAAGCACATGAACTACCCCATGATACATAATTGCTCTTGCAATTACACCACTGAATCCCAGATTCTTTGCTTGTTGCAGAATGACACTACCAATATCCACAAATCGTTGTTTTCATATACGGTTGTTGCAAGTGCCAGCGAAGGGGGAAACGAAAGGCGTTTCTGGTGCCACCTGGGTTGGGACTTGGGAGTGCTTGTCGTTGGGGGGGGGGGGGGGGGGGGGGGGGGGGGGTGTTGCCAAGACGAAACATGAGACATATTTGCTCACATACTCAAAGTCCTAAACATCATATGGGGTGAGATATATAATTTAACAAACATATGAATTATCAACGAGCTTCGCTCGCTAACCGCAATATTGGGACATCTCATGAGTTCAAAATGAATAAGCTCAGGAGTTGAATTCAAGAAACCACATAGTCAAACTGGCTCATGACCTCGCGAGCTAACAATGCTGAACTAAAAACTCATCTCATTAGTAAACAAATCGAGCTTCAGAAAAAATATTCATATCCAACATCGAACCTCTCGTATACACAACTCACTCATTTACAACTATCTGTCTCTATCTCAATTAATCATGCATGTTCTCTCTCTACCTCATTCGCTCACCTTGGTGGAACAACATATATAGTTTCCGCCTTTTAACTCACTCTTCGCAGCTTCACTTCTTCCTCTTTTGTGTCTTATTCATCATCAAACTCTCTTAAGAACCAATTGATTTTCAATAACTCAAATTATCGAGAAAGATCCATGTGCGATACTTAACCAATTTCTTAATCTCAAACATTGCGATTTCGACTTCTTCCTCGACCATTGCCATCTGCCAGTTGTCGACATTTACTACCCAACAGTATCGATGAACCGCCATTCAAGGATTCACCACGTCTAAAATCCCTCACATTATATTCATCCATTTGGGATTTCAAGATTTTAGGTCGCGATGTATGTTTCGATTTTGAACTTGTTCACCTTGATTTCAGATTTCATATGGTAGAAGCGTCAATCTCAACTTCTAAGATTTTGTTGGCCCTTCTGAACCAAGTCTTCATCTCTTGAAAACTTATATAATTTCTACCAAAAAAAAAGAAAACTTATATAAATACATTACCCACTAATTTCTATTACACATTACATTGCACGTGATCAACGTAAGTACGTAATTTAACACATCGTTTTATTTCATACTTTATTTTTTATTTATAAAGCTCGAGTAAATTAAAGCCAAATACACAATACATACAATATTGGTATATATCCTATCAGCATATCTCCCCTAGCTGCAGATCAGGTAACTGCCAGCTGGCTGAGACTGAGACGATTATCGTGTTGAGAATGAGAAGAAAGGCCATCAAAGAAAGCATCCACAATGAGTTTTGCAGCAGCCTCCGTGGGATGAACAAAATCCCAAAACACGTGATCACTTCGATTGGAGCAGTAGAGTGAAAACGGGAAACACGGAATCAATGCCCTCAAATACCCTATCCCACAACATGCCGCAGCCACCTCTTCAAACCCTGCCGCCAAATTATTAAGTTAGGTAATCAAGCGGCCGGGCTAGCTGCTAATTAAACCGGTTCGATTCAGTTAACCGAAAAAATTAAGCTTCCGATCGAGCTGAACATTTTGATATACGATTACTTACCGTGGGGGGCAGGGTTTTGGATGAGATCTTGGAGCACATTGAAGGTGTCGAGGTAGGAGCACGAAGAATCGAGGAGGTTGGTTTCCAAGTCTGCTAATACATCCTGCAGCTGTTGATTGTAGGTGGCAGCCATGGAGTTGTGTGGTTCGCTGCATGCTTCGTGGGTTTGGAACTTTCTCCTTACCATCGGGGTGCATCCCAGCAGCGGCGCCCCTGCCACCACGAACTTACGCGCACCGTGTTCGTATAACGTCTGCATGCAATTCGAATTATTAGGATCAACAGATTCTTGACACAAAGGCGCACACGCAGTTTGTTGTTATAAGAAAAGAACAAATCGATCGAGTTTTACGATTAGCTAACCGTGATGTACTCTTTGAGGTTGTCGGCCATGAGATTGGTGAAATCCGAAGGGGGGATGGTTTGGGATTCCGAGGAGGAAGAGGTCGTGTTTGCCTGATACGTGAAAATATCGTTGCTGCCGATGACGATGGTGAAGATGGATTTGGAGAGGAGGGTGTTTGCTTCCGTGGATCCCATCTCTGCTGTCAGTACTTGGTATACCGTTTCGTAGAAGCCAACTTGATCGGCAAATCCAGTAGATGCATTCTGCAGCAGTCGGTTAGAAATTATGTCGTGGAAGAACGGAACAAACATAAATAATTATTGATGTATTCACTTTTTATTTATAATTTGGGTCTAAATTAGACTCGTTGCATATTGAATACCTAAAAGAAAATAGACATCCGATTTTAACGTGAATTTCACTTTTTGTTTTCCTTCAAAAATAAACTAGAATGTGGAAATACCAAACATTGGGTATGTGAATTATATTGAAGAAATTTAGTGATGCAGTCGGTATTGCCTTTTCGTTTGTACGATCATCTAGACCCGTTTGGGACCAACCCAATTGAATTGATCTAAAATGGAATTCAATCGAAATTCGAAACAAATAAGAATGCATTTGGATATACCGAATGTTCATATACTGGAGCGGATGGGTACACAACCCCAACCTACAAAATCCGGTCATGATGATACGACCTGTAATCATGTCGTATTATCGTATCACACATGTCATGATATACGATGATACAACCACGATTTCGCAGGCCTGAGATCTGTACCCTAAGTCCCTAACCCAAACCTTATAATATTTGTTTCTTAGCTTACCGGATTTTGCAAACTACTGTTGAGGAGCAGGGAGCCGGCAGAAGCGAAGCTGGCGCCGGCCATGTAAGAAGACGCAGTTTTGGTATACAGAGACAGGTAAGGCGGGGGACTTGGGACCCCGAATCTCTCAGCTGCTCCACAAATATATATATAGTCAGTCTTCCAATATACCAACAACGAGGAATCAAGAAGAGTAGGTAGTTATATGTATGGTAGAGTATTTGTGTACGTACCGAGCCAGTCAGCAGAATTCTTGCCGTTGCACCACCGCCCGGTTGCTTCGTGGTTGGGGAAATCAATCCCATTGTGAGGATAATTCGCTCTGTTCGTCGAAGTCGGTATATAGATATTGTTCCCAACCTCGACCAGCGAGTCGCCGAACACGAACATCGCCGGCACCGCCGTCTCATCGTCATTCTCCGCCGCGGCTCCGCTCAGAAAGGCCGACGACGACAGCATAACTACTAGAACTCCACCACACAAAATGTTGGTCAACGACGGTGACTCCATGTCTCCCTTCTTTGTTACAGATTGTGTGTAGTACTAGTAGGGATGTGAAGTGATGAGTGTGTTATGGTGGCGGGTTGTATTTATAGAGGCCGGTGGAAAGTGTAAATTGGAGACCCGGCCGGCCGGAGTCGAGTCGGACAAATGGGCTGGGTTTGGTATGGGTCGCGCTCAATTCAAGTATCGGCGCGCATGTGTAAAATATGGTTCCCAAAAAATATTTTTGCATTATTGGAGTAGTAATCTGCTGAGCAGATTAATTAATAATTTTATTCCGCTGGCCTGCCGGCTGCTAGCAGCTGGTTTGTTTAATTTCTTTTTTTTTTCATTGATGTATCATTTATATGCTCCCTCTTCTGCGTTTGCGGAAGTGTGATGGTACGTTGTTCGGAAAACTAAACGAGGGAAACGATGTTTGAAAATAGGGACTGCAATAAAAATTATTATTTCTTTCGCCATACATGAGTTCAGGTTGAGGTGCATGTATAATCACTCTTTAGTGCTAACGTAGAACCAGATTTTCCTTTAATTTCAAGTGGTGCAGATTTAAGGGTGAGATTGTTATTTTTTATTTTTTTCTAATTGGTTTGTATCTTATTTGCTGGAAATTGAATTTACTAATTTTTTAAAATCTACAAAATAATCGTTATCATCCGTTACCACACTTGTACAATTGGTACCATTTTGTATTACATTCGTTTTTAATTCGAATTTTGGAAAATTTGCACAGATGAAACGGGTTTATATTTAGCTATTGTGATCTACAAATTTATGGGTGAAAATTTTCTAGAACCAAGTATATATACCACCCTAGTATAGGGTGGTAACTGGTGGTAGAGTGCACTTTTCCTCGGCCGATTGCACCACCCTAGTATAGAGTTTATATTTAGCTATTAATATATTTTTACTATCATGTATACAACTATTCTACACTATGTTATATTTATGGATACGATCATATGGTACATTATTTTCATACCACTTTTGTATAATTTTATATGTGCTAGCTACCAAACGTAACCTCCATTCATTTATTACCAAATCATTTTCAGAAAACCTTTAATATCAAATAAATTATGCATATATTTGACATATTTTAAAATAATATCACCAATCTACATTCATATATTACCAAATTATTTATTAAAATAAAATATATATAATATCAATATCCACGTCTTCAAACCCAATTGTGACTAGTCAGGCCACCCGGTTTTAACCCGTTTAACCCGCTTTTGACTTTTTTCTCAAGTGGAGTGTATTCCAACCGTTTAGATGTTTGGTTCAGGTTGGGCCGATTGAACCAGCGACCAGATAAAGGTTTGACAATCTTGCACATAACATGAACTTTTTTTTTGTCAAAAACACAAACGTGCTAGCAATAGGAGATCATGATTCGTCATATTGAGGTCACACTAATTGTATGATTATAAGACACAATAATCCAATATAGAAACTATCGTGTCTACAGATACTGCAAAAACAAAAAAAAGCAAGGCTGATCGCCATAACTATAAGAAACAGTGAGGATTTATCATTGTTTTATTTTTCCTCGTTATTTTCATGACGAATTTCTGACAATAAATTGTGAAATAATTTGACATGATGTCTAATCATCACTAGCATATAAAACATCAACAAATTATGCGATTACTTACGATACGTGACTATCTATTCTATAATTTGTTCCTATATAAACTTTTAATTTAACATGTCAAGACATTAAATCCCGATATTTGAGAAACCATTATTTACCTTAATTAGCTCGAGGTAGAAATTAAAATGCTATTGACCCATAGTCATACGGACTTCGAGAATATTCGAATATCTTCAATATTATTTTAGAAGTTAATTTAATTTTCAAAAGAAAAAAAAAGTAAGGACAGTTATAGAGTAATTACATCCCAATTTTCCATGGTAGGTGTTAGTTGGGTCATTAAACACATATCACAATCCTCCGATTTACAACATAATAACACCCTAATTCAAAACCTCTCTACCCCCCAAAAATAACCCTGGTAAAGGGTGAAAAGGTAAAAGCAGGGAGAGGGAGGGCAGGTATCCAATGGGAGCGACTGCCTGCCTTGGGTAAACTGCATAGTAATTATAAGGGTAACCCTCTCGAGGTAACCGCCGGTTGGGCAAACATGGTCTTTGGTCTTTGACTTTATTTTTACCTTTACCACCCAATCATATTATTTCCATATATTTGAAAAAGCTTTTTTTTTTTTTTTTTGTGTAGTTGGGGGCTATAAATTGAAGTGATTCCCAATGCCAGCCAATGCCAATCGTCTCCTCTCCCTTCAAGTCAAGTGTCCATTGCCAAACAAACCACAGAGTCAGAGCGCGAGAGCCAAACAGATAACAGAGCGATGGAACGTGGCGGCGTTGCTGGTGGTGGCGGTGATGGAGGGCTCAATCGCAACCGTCGACATGCAAAGCAACGAGAGGCCGCCGCCGCCATTTTTGGTGGGCCAGCTGTCTCCGGTATGTAACGATTGCTCTCCTCAGTCACTCCTTCTTGACCATATTATATATATATAACCGACGCTAGTCCTCCATTATCACCCCAAAAACTCAGTGTAACACTAAACACATAAAAATACCGGAAGCTTAAAAACGAAATCAGAGATATCAGATCTTCCATAATCAAGTTTCATTTTGGTCTGACTTGTATGTTAAATTTTTTTTTTTTTTATGAATGATTGTTGACCTTAAGATTTGAATATGAGTACTGTCTTCAAATTTTCACACCAATTAATAATTTTATTTTCGAGCTGTAGCTTATGATGATTGGTATTTCGTACAAAGATCATTATCAGCTACGGAGATTAGAACGTATAATCATGGATCGGGAGATCTTGTATGTATGGCCATGTTTGATGAATTGATTGATACAGTTTCAGTCTTCGGCATGAGAAATTTTATTAGTGAATTAATAAATTAATTAATTATACTTATTTTTTTGTGTGGCTTAATAAATACATTTAGAACGCATATTGGAATTTCTGTGGTGTAATTTAATATTTGAGTGCGTTAAAATAAAAGAAATGTTTAGGGTTGGTGTTGGATGACGTGGAAGCCATGCACGTAGTAAACCACTGACTCACTCCTCTTTTCTCCTGCATGCCCAATCAAAACCTCTGCTTTTCCTGTGCGCGATATATAGGCTTAGTTTTTTATAATTAATTACAGTTTATTAGTTTTAAATTCTTTTCACTTGTCTTCTTCTCTTCATCTTTAGAGCAGAAAAATAGGGGGGGAAAAAATTATTTCTCAGATGAAGGCATGAAGGTTTCGCCATACGAATTTATCGTATGCAAAGTTCGAGTTGACAATACAAGCTAGTTTGCAAATCTTAATTAGAAAATATGTGTACACCTTATTGATTAAAAATCTATAATTATTCTAGAGCTATGTTTTCTTCATAATTCAAACGATCTATTTACAAAAAATTACTTATTGGTTGTTTATCTCTTTATTTTTGGGTTAGAACTTCGACATTCTCAAATATTCCTCACCAAAATGTGATGGGCTTTTGATTATTGCAAGTGAGCCTTTCCCAGAGCTGGGCTCCGCCTCAGAGTGTCCCATTTCACCTTGAGCAAAGCCCAAGGCCCAACTAATAATCACTAACCATTTCTTTTCCAGTTGATTCCGCTCCAAACGTCAGCGGAACCGCCAAAATCCGCCTTCCCGCCAACATCAGGTCAGGGGAGAACCCAACTCCCGCCGGCCAGGAACCGCCGCCGCCGCCGCGCCGATCTCTTCCTTTACTCCGAGAACAAGACCAGTACATGCCCATAGCCAATGTCATCCGCATAATGCGGCGCATCCTCCCCGCCCACGCCAAAATCTCCGACGATGCCAAGGAGACGATCCAGGAGTGCGTCTCCGAGTACATCAGCTTCGTCACTGGCGAGGCCAACGAGCGCTGCCAGCGGGAGCAGCGCAAGACTGTCACCGCCGACGACGTCATCTGGGCCATGGGGAAGCTCGGATTCGACAGCTACGTCGAGCCGCTTTCGCTCTTCCTCGCCAGGTACCGCGAGGCAGAGGGCGATCGGGCATCTTACCGCGATCCGATCATGCTCAAGCGAAGGTCCCCGGATTTTGGGAATATGATGTTGCCGTCGCCTCCGCTGCCGCAGCAGCAGCAGCAGATGGTTTCATACATGCAGGCACCTTTCGCGATGCAGGGCGATCATCATCAGCAGCAGCAGCAAGGGATGTATGATGGCGGCATGCTGAATGGGTACTACAGGGATCCGTTTGGGTCGGGCTCCGGTAGTGGAAGCGGAGAAGACGGTGGGGGAACTTCTCAGAATGGAATGTCTGGCTTTGATCTATATGCGCAGTACAAATAATGGAGGGAGGGAGGTTAAAGAGAGTCAAGAAAAAGACATCGTTGATAAGGAGTTGATCAGGGGAAATTTTGATTGGAATGTGAAGAAAGGGAAACAACCCTAAAGAGATTTTTAGCTTTATTCAAGATCTTAGTTGAAAAGCTGAAGTTTTTAGGCTTGTTAAGGTGATGATACATTTATTTATGCTCTTCTTTGAAACCGAACTGAGCGATTTTACATAGTACTCTTAAATATGAGTGGAGGATTTGAAGCTCCTGCTGGACATCTTTATCTGTTTCCCATATACAATTGCTGTTCTCTGATGTAGCTGATAACTGAATCCGCCGTCAAGTACTTGATTGACAATCCTTTCGATATGCAGTCTCTGGAATTTATATAGGAGCAAAATAAGGACGCGGTCTTAAGTCCAAAAATGTCAAGGGTAACTTTGTTCAAGTTCAAGGGAGGAAATTTATGCTGTTCAATTTACCTCAACCTGGTGGAACTGATCATGTTTGGTACAGGTTCAGTAACAGGCTTGATCTTATCCTGCAACACCAATTCATGTGAGGCTACTGGTAAACTGCAAAACTGCCTTCAGGTTTCATGAAACCAAACATTCAACAACAGAAGGAAAGGAAGGTGTCATTCCAGATCAAACCTTGATATCAACTACCTTATTCTGATTCAAGATTTCATCAGCAGCTATGATTCGGTCGACTTCGAGCTCTTCCCTACGAATGCAAGCTATACCATGGTCTCTGCATATGGTCCTTACCTATATAAGCAACAGGGGGGTACTGTTCAATGTTTGACACTTTTCCTAATGAGGAGAAAGCAAAGTGCAGTAAATTAATAGCTCTGCTTCAAACAAACCACAAAACTACCTGATCGGGAATCCAAAACCCAGGAATCTTAAACGTCTGCAGCAGATCAGCACCACAAACAAACATCACCTTGAGTGATTCTTCCAAATCGCAATAGGGTGGGGGGTTAAAAAAAACACATTAGCATTGTTGATCAACCAAAACAAAGAAACTTAAAAAGTCAGTTAGTTACAAGGAGAAGCTTTTACCCCTGGATATCGGGACTTCTTCGATGAAGACACTCTCAATTCTTCTCAACACAGTCAAAGATGACTGGTAGGTACTTTGATTTGCCTGTAAAATAAGGTTTATTCAACGAAACGAAAAAAAAAAAAAAAAAAAAGACAAGGCTGGTATAAGGTTTATTCAATTCTTCACAAATATCACCTCCCATGGATCAACCATAATAAAATCGGAGCTCTCACAGGCTAAATTACACATGCGCAAACGATGCTCAGCAGGTATAAGACCCTGCACAACCAAGCAATCGGAAAGCAGCTGCTGCATTGACGTCCGCATATAGGTGGGAAAGATAAAAGGTAACAGAACCAAACTTAGCGCTGTAAATCAAACCGGTTTTTTGTAGACATCGGTAACGGGCGACATATACCCAGCAATCACACGGTAGCCTTCCGATTGCAATGCGTCCCTAGCCAACTCTGGTCCATACAATTGAACACAAAATACAGTCCAGGATCATGTTTTTAAGGTTTGCAAAGTCGAATGTTGATGCGGGTAACAACAAAAGAAGAGAAAAGAAAGCATTGAAAACTTACCAAACATCCGCAAGTGCATGAGAGTAGGAGGGTTGAAGCATCCGGTGGCAACCAAAACTACAGATACCTTGCCGTCGTCCCTGCTTTAGTTTTTGCTCCAACAGAACAGACAAGTTAATCACCAGACAAGCAATCGGATTGACAAGAAGAAAGTAAGGGGAGCATGAAATTTGAAGAATACTCGGTGGAAATAGAGACTTTGTCCATCGGTAGCGGAAACTCCATTGCGGTTGATTGAAGGGGAAGGTGAAATCGAGATCACTGCCGAGAAGGTATAACTTCCCTGTCAAAGGAGCAGATTGTGAGAACTCTAGAAGTTTTAGCTTATTCTCATTGCATCAAGACAGCTTATTTCGTTGCTGTTGTGTGGTTACAATTTACAAAGCATGAACAGAACCTTACCGTGCAAGGAAAAAAGAGAGACTTGGACAAGAAGAAAGTACAACCCTAAAATAGAAAAAAGGAGCAAGTCAATAATTGTAGGTGTGCTATGGCCTATGGTAGTTTTTCAGAAATGACGTCACTGCAGCTTTGACGACTTGTCGGTGTAGGCGCAGCGGTAACTTCCTCTGCCGGGCTGGGTTCGAATTGTGGAAGCCGCGAAAAACTACTGGTTTTTATTCCTGATACCCTCCCGCAAGCTCGTGAGCAGAGATTCAGTATACCAAGCCGCGAAAAACTACTTCCTTCTGCTTTGATATTCTCATTAAGCCATTGTGCAAAGTCCTTGTCTGCAGCATTCGTCGTGATTTTGTCACTGTAATGATTCCAGACTCCTCTGATCTTCCTGCACATTCGCACGATATGTTTCCACGGTTTCTTCCTCACCAGTACAATGCTTGCAACTCCCATTGTTGGTTAGCTGCCTTTATTTTCTTTTTGCGTTAGTGAGCAGCCAGTTATGTGAAACCAACCAGAGAAGAATTTCACTCTATTTGATCATTCCATATCTCGATCGGCTCTGCCTCCTCTACAAGGTTGTAAGCAGAGCAAAAACTGAATCTGCCATCTTTCACAATGCCCCATGTGGGTTTGTCCTCTCCTAACTCTGTTCTAGGTGCATCAATACCTGCAATGTGACACAAAACATCATTAGCTTAATCTTTGAGTTTCACAGAGTCCCACTCACCACTAGCACCCACCCAATATGCCACGATGGAGTCGATTGCTTCATTCAGCAGCTCCCTGGTGGCAAAGTCAGCCATATTAGTGTCGTTTTCCAACTAAGGGTTTGACCAAAGTACATCAGCTTCGTCACGGGGAAGGCCAACGAGCACTGCCAGCGGAAGACAGTCACCGATGCCGATGTGATCTGGGCCATGGGGAAGATGGATTCGACAGCTATGTCGAGCCGCTTTCCCTCTTCCTCGCCAGATACTGAGAGACGGAGGGTGGTGATCGCGCATCTTACCGCGATCCCATCATGCTCAAGCGGAGCTCCGCAGGTTTCGGGGCTATAGTTATGCCGCCTCCGCTGCTGCCACCGCAGCAGTAGATGGTTTCTTATATGCAGGCGCCTTTCGCGATGCAGGGCAATCATCAGCAGCAACAGCAGCAGGGGATGCATGATAGCGGCATGCTGAATGGGTACTACAGGGATCCGTTCGGGTCGGGCTCCTGCATTGGGAGCGGAAGCGGAGAAGATGGTGTAGGAACTTCTCAGAATGGCATGTCTGGCTTTGATCTATATGCGCAGTACAATAAATGGCGAAAGGGGGGTTAACGAAAGCAAGAAAAAAGGCATCATTGATAAGAGTTGATCAGGAGAAATTTTGATTGAAATGTGAAGAAAGGGAAACAATCCTACAGAGACTTTTACCTTTATTCAAGATCTTAGTTGAAAAACTGTAGCTTTACATTTATGCACCTCTTTGAAACCGAACTGAGCAATTTTACAAAGTACTCTCAAGTATGAGTTGAGGGTTTGAAGTTCATCGGATATAATGCTGCAGGAGATGATCTTAATCTGTTTCCTAAATACAAATTATGTTCTCTGATGTAACTGATAACTGAATCCACTGTCAAGTACTTGATTGACAATCCTCTTGATATGCAGTCCCTAGAATTTATATAGGAGAAATAACCGCAGTCTTGAGTCCAAAAATGTCAGAGTAACTTTATTCAAGTTCAACGAAGGAAATTTATGCTGTTCAATTTACCTCATTCTGGTGGAACTTATCGTGTTTGGTACAGGTTCAGTAACAGGCTTGATGTTATCCTGCAACATGAATTCATGTGAGGCAAATTATAAATAAACACATGAGGGAAGGATTAAACTGAGAGCTAATGTTAAACAGAAAAACTGCCTTCAGGTTTCATGAAATCAAACAATCAACAACAGAAGGAAAGGAAGGTGTCATTCCAAATCAAACCTTGATATCAACTACCTTATTCTGATTCAAGATTTCATTAGCAGCTATGATTCGGTCTATGTCAAGCTCTTCCCTATGAATGCAAGCTATGCCATAGTCTCTGCATATGGTCCTTACCTATATAAGCAACAGGAAACTGTTCATTGATTTACACTTTTACTAAAGAGGAAAAAGCTAAGAGCAATAAATTAATAGCTTTGCTTCAAACAAACAGCAAAACTACCTCACCGTGCATGAACTATAAACTTTTGTAAGAGCCGAATGATTACAACGAAAATAAACATTCTAATTGCAAATTAATGCAACATGGTTCTCGGGAAACAGTACCTGAACGGGAATCCAAACCCCAGGAATACTAAACGACTGCAGCAGATCAGCACCGCAAACCAGCATCACCTTGAGGGATTCTTCCAAATCGCAATAGGGGGTTACAAAACACATTAGCATTGTTGTCTCACACATCAACCAAAACGTAGGAACTTAAAATTAGTTAGTGACGAAGAGAAGCTTCACCCCTGGATATCGGGACTTGATCGATGAAGACACTTTCAATTCTTCTCAACACAGTCAAAGATCGCTGGTAGGTACTTTGATTTGCCTGTAAAAATAAGGGTTATTCAATGAAACGAGAAAACAAGGCTTGTTGTCGAGAATCAGCTCACATATTTGCACAGTAGAGCTGAATAGATTACCTCCCATTGATCAACCATAATAAAAGCGGAGCTCTCACAGGCTAAATTACACATGCGCAAACGATGCTCAGCGCGGGCAAGACCCTGGATAACCAAGCAATGGGAAATCAGCTGCTGCATTGACGTCCATAGAAGGTAACAGAAGCGAGCTTAGCGCTATAAATCGAAACGGTTTGCTGTAGGCATCGGTAACGGGCGACATATACCCAGCAATCACACGGTAGCCTCCCATTTGCAATGCATCTCTTGCCAGCTCTAGATCATACAATTTAACCCAAAATCCAGTCCAAGATCATGTTTTTAAGGTTTTACGAAGTCGAATTTTGACGCGGGTAACAACAAAAGAAAAGAAAAGAAGGCATTGAAAACTTACCAAACATCCGCAAGTGCATGAAAGTAGGAGGATTGAAGCTTCCGGTGGCAACCAGAACTACAGATACCTTGCCGTCGTCCCTGTTTTAGTTTTCCCCCAATAGAACAGACAAGTTGTATCACCAGACCAAGCAATCGGATTGAAGAGAAGAAAGTAAGGGAGAAGAAATTTGAAGAATACTCGGTGGGAACAGAGACTTTGTCCATCGGCAGCGGAAACTCCATTGCTGTTGATTGAAGGGTAAGGTGAAATCAGAGATCACTGCGAAAATTTGAAGTTTTCCTTTCAAAGAAGCGAATAGATTCTCCGTTCTGTTTATTCTACGAAAAAACCGGCGGTTGCTTCCGCCGCTAGGGGGAAGAGGAGAAAATCGGAGATCAGGATTTGCTATTCTTTCTATCATAAGACATGTCCTACTTCTATTGTTCCTTACCCCTTGTTTCTTTGCCAGGGAAAATGAGAGAAAGGAAAGGAAAAGGGGGGAATTGTGGGTTCCAATAAAATTTTCCCCGTTTCCGAAATGTTCTACAGTACAGAGGCGAGGGAAAATGGAGGGGCCGCGTACTATGCTAGCCTCACCCCAAATCGGAGGGAAAATAATGAGTTCCATTGTCTTTTTTGTTTGTTTGTACCAATCTCTCTTTTCTTTCTTTCTTTTTTTTATTTATTTCTTCTCTCTTTTATCTCTGTAGCCCGTAGGAATTTGAGAGCTCAACTTTAATAATAATAAATTGACAAGGAAAGGCAGAGGAAAAGAGATTTGTGATTAAGAAGTGATTCTAAGATATTTATTGTTTTATTAAAATAGGAAAAGGAAGCATACAAAATGAAAAGAAGACGATGGAGGGTTTTAGATAATGATAGAAGTAATTACAATTTGTTATCCATTTTAGCTGAATAATTGGGATTACTCCTCATTATTAAAATAATGGTTTGCTAAATTATATATCATAGTGAATTAGTACGAAAATCACGAATCAATATAACGATATAACGTATGATGGAATTTTAGTTTGAATTTAAATTGATGATTTTTTATAGAAGTAACGGTTAACCATTAGATCTAACCGTCGACATATTTCCGTACTATTCTACTTTTGATTTTTAATAGTGACCAAAATTAGTAAGAAAGTAAAAATTTAATCTACAATTCATAACCAATGATCAAATTATTTTCGTTATGACATGATAGTTAAATGGTATTTTATGTAGACATGTTTCATACAACAAATTTGATAAACTTGAAATTTATAGCAAGAATGCAAGATGTTTATCTACTTATTGGATATTTAGACCGGATCGAACGAAACCAAATGGGTGATTTACGTCATATATAGTGTTGTCTTACACGATACATAAAATTGTTACGTGAGATATAAGAGTTTGTTACATTCATAGTAAAAACGATATAAGAGGGGAATTTTTTACAAAATGGATGTCATTTTGTACAGTAGAGCTAATCCAATTTATATGAGAATTTTTTTAAATTGACGCTCTCACATGAGTCACACAAAATATTATTTTACACAATTACGTGGAACGTAAATGTGTGGCAAGTTTCAAGTAAAACGACATCAGAGTGATACATTTTTTATAGAATGAACGTCATCTTGTACTACAAAGGTTATCAAAATTTGTATGAAAAAATAAAATTAAGTTAAATGAACAATTTATGTTCCGTTAACAAATAATAAAAATGATCATGGTTATGTAGAAATTGATTATTCATAATATTCATTTTCACATTTTTTACACATACTTACTATTACATAATCAATAAAATAACATATCTATCACACTTTCCTATATACTTTTTCCCTCCTACTATCTCTTTCACTTTCCCCCATAAAACAACATTTTCTCTCCAATTCTCTTCTCCTCCAATTTTCCTTCCCCTCCAAATTCTCCCTCCCCTCCTTTTCCTCCCCTACTTCGGAAACAGGGGGTTAGTGTCCCATCCAAAGAGTGGCATTACTGTAATTAGTTGCTGCCGTTAGTTTCACAGTTGCTGTGATTACTTCTTTTGCTGCCGTTAGTTCCATCATTGCTGTCATTAGTTCTTTAATATATTTGATGAAGGGCTAGAGAAAACAAACGTCAGCCTAGAAATTCTATCTACTGAGTAATTAGTTCTTTAATGTTTGATGAAGGCTAGAGAAAAGAAGCGACAGGCTAGAGAAGCTAGAGCTAGGGGAGGTTTTGCCGTGAAAGATTGTTTCTTTCTATTCCCAATCCAATGTTTGCCCAAATGATCTCGGCTGTTCTTCCCCTGTTCTGTAACGATCCTTGCTCCTGTCTATCTCTCTCTTTCTCAACTTTTCGGCTGCCGCTGTTTTGGGGTTTCCTCGAGGTCCGGCCGAGGTCGGCCTGTCTTTTCACACGGATGTGTTGGCCACCGCCTGAAGTCCGGCTGCTTTTGCTCTCTTCTTTCCTTATCTTCTGCTTTCTCGGTTTGCTCCTGAAGCTCCTTATCTGCTCCTTTCTGTTGCTTCGCCTTCTTCAATTTTCCTCTAATTTCCGCCATGGTTACTCATAAGCTTCTGTTGGATGTTAGTGCAGGTGATGGCCTGCACACGTTGCTCAAACTACGCCTGGTGCACGCTTGGGGGTCCTATGGTTTGAAGGATCCTTCTCTGATCTTTAATTACTGTACGCTTTGGAATGACGAAGAGGTGTGCTTTTATTTCTCTTGCTTGCTGTTATTTGCGTTCTTTCTCTTGCTGTGTGTTGATGTCGTCTTTGTTTTTGTCTTGCAGGGAACTTTAATTCAGGGTCTAGCTCCCCCCAATTTGACCGATCATTTCTCCGCCCTGTTGCAACTGGGGAATGTCTACTTCGTTAGTGGTTTCCGGGTTCAACCTCCTGGTCCTGTTTATCGTTCTTGCTCCCACAAATTAGCAATCATTCTTTCAATTGACACGAAATTCGAAGACGTGACTACTTCGTCGCCCCATTTTTGGCTGGAAGCTTTCGAATTCGTGCCCTTTAGCTCTCTCCACTCCCGTATTCGAAGACGTCTTATCTAACTTGTAGTTGGTTCTGTCGTTAGTGTTACATGCCTTTCCCATACTTTCACAACCTTTGGCGATAATGTTCGCCGGGAACTGGTATTGCAGAATGAAAGGTTTGTGTTCCTCTGACTTATTCATTTGTTGTCCTTCTTAGGTTTTATTTCCCTCTTCTCTTCTTCAGTTGTTCACTTTGTCATTCTTTCAGCCATATGTTGCTTGATATTACGCTTTGGGGCGATATAGCACGTGCTGTTGATGGCGAGGAACTGGCCTTTCTTGGCCGTGATGGGGTCGTTGTCCTTGCCCTCGGGTGCCTCAAGGTTACTGCTGCGACGCGAGGTCTTGCCTTTCTTGCTTTTTCTTCCTTCGTCATTTTACCTCTTATCCGTCTTTGGTTGGCTTATTCGTGTGGTTCTCCGTTAAGGTGGCTTTGCACTTTCGAACACTCCTGGTACGCGCACTCTCCTGAAGCCCTCCTCTGAAATGGCACATGTAATCCGATCAGCGTACGTACTAGGTTTCCTTCCCTCTGCATCTTACTGTGTTGGATTCCTTCTGCCTCCTGATTACCTGTTTTTTCCAGGTTCTTTGCTGCTAAGAATATCGTCCAGTATTACCCACCAAGGTTTGCCACTCCTACCGAGGTAGCTGCTTTTGAGGCTTCATGTACGAAAACTGTAGCGGTGCACCTGGACATGTGTCGTTCTTCCGTCATCGATGTGCGTTCTTCCAAATGTTGCTTGTTGTTCTTGTTATTGTTGAGTCATGTTGGTCGTTCCTGGTTCTTAAGTTTCCAAATGCTTCATTAGCACGCGTAATTCTTGGTTTTTTTTCGATGCAATTTTGTTGTTTCCTGCTTTTACAGAATATAAATGTTACATTGCGATTTCGAAATATTGATGCATTTGGTTTCTTTTTCCAGAACACTCGCTATCATTGCTCTGCGGATGTTATCTCGGTTGATGCAGACAGCCAGTGTTACTATCTTGGATGCGGTCTTTGTTCTAGAGCAGCAAAGGATTATGACGATGTGGACCTCTGGTGTGAAGTGCATCGCCTATTGAAGCCGGACCAAACAGAAAATCGGTATTCTTATGTTACCTTTTTCGTTTCTCGCTGTGTACCTCTTCTTGTGCTTAATTTACCTTTGTTCCTTGCAGTTATAAGATCCGCTTGATTGTAGAAGATGCCACCGCGTCTGCTACATTTGTCCTTATGGGGAAGGTTGCTGATGCTCTTGTGGGGACTACTGCTCCGCAACTTACCAACGCGGGCAGTTGCCTCCGGAATTTTGGCTTTGGACGGGCGTCGTTTCGCTTTTGATGTGCAGCTCCCTAAACCTCAGTACGTGTCTCGTGGCTTCCTCGACTTTACCGTTGTATCAGTCCCTGAACAAAACCAACCAAACCTTGCCCCCGCCCGTCTGGTTAATCGTCAGAGAAACTCAGTCACCCTGTCGCCTAACTCTGCTAGGTTTGTACTGTTACACATTTTTTCCTCCACTACTTTTTCGTTCCTTGCTAGATGTGCTTCGGTGTCATGGACACCACTTCTGTGTTTTCTTGCAATGCATGTTTCTGTTGTTTTTCTGTGGTTGTGTTTTCTTCTGCTTTTCTTTCTACCTTTAATCTTTGCTAACTCACGTGCTTTTTAACTACAGTGCCAGTACTTCTGGTTTCTCCTCTCCTTCGCCTACCCCATCTCTAAGGTTGTATGTTCTTTACTCATTACGTGTACACAATTTTTCATTAATAGTAAAACTTGTGCTTATTTTACTACTACTGCTTTTGTTACTATTTTTGTTCCCCGTGTTTTGCACCTGTTGATCGTGGCCGGTGATTTTGCTATCTTTCTACATTATTCCTCTATCTTACTGTGTCTGGTCTATTTATGACATTTGCATTCGGTTCAGTTCGCATCCTGGAACGCCTGCAGGCCCGCCAACTTTGTATGCAGGGTGAGTCTCCTTTCCTGATTCCTTTTTGTGTTCCAGTTGTTGTTCACTTTTTCAGTGGCACGTCATTAATTCCACACCTTACTTGCCTTTTTTCCGACTGCTCAGGTCGCGCTCTGTTGTTGTTGCTCAGTCACATGAACTGCAACCTGCTCTTGAGTAATTTCTACCCTTATACCTCAAACCTATTTGCCTTCTTGTTTATGATTTCTCTTCTTTCTTTAAACCAGCCGTGTTGAATTGGATGCCGCTGCCGTAATCGTTCCAACAAAGGAGCAACGGTCATGCAAAAAGACTACAGACAAAACTACCCCTCAACCAAGGTTCGTTGCGGTATTATAAATGTGGAGTATTGGTGTGTTTTGCTTTATGTTACTCTACCTTAGTCTTATTGGTATTGAAACTGGAACTGGAAGTTTTTTAGATTTGATGCAAGGTGTTTGAAAGGCCGTCATTATTTTTCTTTCCTTAAATTCCATCTCTTATAGATTTGATGTTATTTTATTTTACATACTGACTATATTTGGAAATATCGTTACGTTCTTGGTTTGTGAAAGTGAATGACTATAGATTTGCATTCCTGGTAATGGATAGAGTTATCATGTGTACACCTATTATGTACACTTGTCAATGGGGACATACTATTTCAAGGGGTACTATACTGGGACTATTCTTTCCAGCATGTTCTTTCCAATTGTATTTATTCTTTTAAATTTGATGCATTGGGTTGAATTTGTTGGTGTGGTTTTGAGTTCAGTTCCAGTTTGATTGGAACGAAAACTTCATGCTATGTCAGTATAGTATTGTAAAGCAAAATACACCGATGCTTCATTTTGGTGTGAAAGGAGAAGGTCATGCTGTCTTGGGGACCTGATGTAGTTGTTCATAGGTTGATTATGTTACATGCATGTTTTCTGTCTGATTTAAATAATGGCAGAATATTCTAATTGAATGTGTGTTGGACTTCCCTTCCACCCCGCTCTGTTAAAGTGTAAACACGATACGTACTTTGACTAATTCAAATGTGGTGTTGGTCGGGGTGATTCT